CAAGGGGGTCCCGGTTGTATCCCCCCACGGGTGCATAGTCTTTAGGAAAGGAGTGAAAAACAGGCTGTTTTTTGCTTAATTTTGCCCCCCCCCTCCAGCTGCCAGGAGCACTCTGAAAGCCTCCTAAAGGCTATCATGCCCTTTTTTAAAAAAAAAAACAAAAACAAAAATGGGCCCATTTTTGTGAAAAACGGGGCCTTTTTTGCTTGTTTTGCACCCCCCCCCCAGAGCACTTTATAAGCCTCCTAAAAGCTATTCATGTCATTTTTTTTTTAAAATGGGCCCATTTTTGTGAAAAACTGTGCGTTTTTGGGAGGTCTGCAGAGTGCAAAACCTCTTTTTTTTTTTTAAAAAAAAAATTCCCTCTTCAAAATCTTGGTGCGTCTTATATTCTAATGTGTCTTATACTACAAAAAATACGGTAGATATGTACATAATTTAGATACATGGCATAAGCTTGAAACTCGTCTAAATTTGTTCATTATATGGTAACCTTGGATTTTGTGTAATATCTGAAAATGAGTCTTTGAATTAGAGAAAAGTGCCTCTGGATATATAATAGGCTGGAAGGCTATCCACTAATTATTTGCCCATCATAAAAGATTTTTAAAAATGCAAGATTATAGTCGCTCACAAGACTTTTCTTTGGAGCTAGACAATGTGTTAGAGACTCTAATGTAGAATTTAATTTGACATTTTTGTAGACAACGTGTCCTTGTTTCTGAGACTTTATCAAGGTCAGTGATGATGTAGCATGAGTGTCTATGGCAACAGACAGTTTTGATTTTTATTTTAAGCTTGAGTCCCTGATTTGAGAACAAAGTTACATCCCAGAGAAGAATATCTATATAACATTCAAAAATCAGTGTTTAAAAAAGATCCAATATTATTAAAGCAATATCAATTATTTTCTAAGAAATAAGTAACTTAGCATGCTTTAGAGTAGTCATTTATATTTTGGAAAATAGTAAAAAGACATGTTAAACAAAAATATAAAAAGGATCTTCACTGGTAGAATATTCCTGATTAAAAAAAACATTTTCTCTCACTGAAAAAGGGCTTCACTGCTAAACTTAAAGAGTACATATTTTTAATGTGTTGTGAATGACCTAGGGAATTATTGTCTGACGTTGGTGACCTTAAGAAGTAGGGATTTTAACTCTAAGCATTCCCAAGCAAGAAGCTATCTGAGGAATTCCGGGAGTTAAAAGTCCACTTCTCTTAAAGTTCTCAGGGTTGAGAAACATTGACCGAGTCATGTAGATTTTAAAGGAACCCTGTGGCTGAGATATTCAATTGTTCCATTTATGCTTCATTCTCTAATTATTAGGGTTCCAATTCAAGTTATTGTGCTTTGGGGTTGGGAACTGGATTTAGTGGCATTTTCTTGTAATTCAGGTTTGAGTCTTGATGGCAGTTAAATTTTATTACTAGTTTTTAAGCAACGTTATAACACTTTTAAACTTTTTTCCCTTTTTCCCCCTTGAAGATTTGGAATGAACGAGCTTTTAACAGCAAATATATCAAGGTATGTCAACTACTATCCTTCACTTATTTAACCAAGTAGGAATCTTGATCTTGCTTTAACATGGAACAAAATTATGCAGCAGAGCAAGAATGTGGGGTTACTTTACTTCAGGTAAACAACTAATAACCATTTGCATGACTTTAAAAAAAATATATTTTCTTTTAATACAAACAATTCATCATTCATTAAACAGTGTCATCTGGATACAATTTTTTTGTGTCATAATAGTTAAAGCTTACCATATATATATTCTTATTTTAATACTTAACATATCAATTTTTGTAACATTTCTTGTAACCATTTGCATGACTTGATGTGTACTAAAAATATGCTTGCATTTGTTGCCTATCTGCTTTACATTTGCATGCTCTCTTATTCACTATTAACATCTTAACATCTGAGCTATTTTGTGCTATCCATATAATACTGACTGGACATTGAAAGTAAAATGTAATGCTGTTCATTTTGTGTGACATTTGAGCTCAAATATTCTCAATTTGGGGGCCTTTACTAGTTAGTGTCTGCTCATTATCTTAATGGTTCAAAAGGTAGCATTCTGATCCCAAGTTGTTTAGGATCTTGACTACCATAGCTAGAAACATGACCTGGGCATAGTAGCTAACTAGCAGCCAGTGCAGGAACTTATCCATCTTAGTTACAGCTGCAGTTTGTTGACCAAGTATAAGAACAGTTTTATACTTGATACCTTGGAATTATCTATGGATGCGGCTATGCATTCATAAACAATTATAGCTTGGTTGTCCCTCTCCAGAAAAAGCATTTAGGTCAGGTATATCAAACTCATGTCGTCATGGCAGTGTCATGTGATATAAGGAGACTTTTTTCCCCTTTGCTAAACTGGGCATGGGTGAGGGCAGCGTGTGATGCATCTGGGAGTTTGACAGCCCTGATCTAGGTGGTATATTATCTAAGTTGCAGAGTTAGGGTTAGAGTTAGGGTTAGGGTTCCGGCAGGTACTACTGCTGGTTCACTTGTGTGCGTGCTTCGCATGCACACGCTTGATGTGAGCTGCACGCGCATATGCAGTGCAATTAAAATTGTTCTGCGCATGTGCAGAACTGAAAAACAAGATGGCACCACCGGGGAACCGATTCAGGGTGTGGCAGGCCTGGGTCACTGCCGGTTCCAGCAACCCAGGCCGCCAAACAGCAACCAGTTTGGCCAAACTGTTAGGGACCCACCATTGCTTAGCCATGGCTAGAGCTTGCGCCTTTAGTAACTGATGAATTTAGGAACTTTTATCTAGAATCTAAAAAAGAAGGCATAATACTTATTTCTTTATAATATTCATGTATTACATAATTGATTGCTTAATTTGAAGGATGTTACAGAACTTAATCTAGAAAAAATGATTAGGTTTTAAAAGAAGTATTTCCTACTTTGATTACCGGAAGATACAATTTCTGTTTTATAACACTTGAACATTTAAAGATGTCTGTTAGTTTCTATTATGGAATTTATTATTTGCTTTTGAAAATATACAGTTTAGTGTACATATCTAAATTGCTAGGGTTCATCAGGTTTTGGCTAATTTAGATAAGGTTTACTGCTGATATAAGGAAGGGTATGGATAATATAAAAGAGATGAATATTTGATGCCAAGCGACTAGACCTGAAGGCTATATGCACTTGCCTAATTCCTAAGGGGAGATCGCTGTGAGTTGAAATGTGTGGGAAAGATTTGCTGTTTAATTTTTTAGTAATTGAAGCTTGCCCAGAGTGTGGCAGCAGATGTGTACAATGGCATTTAATAGGTCACTTGTGTTGAACGAGCTATACTGGTTGCCATTTGCTTTACGAATGCAATTTAAGGTGCTTGTTGTGATATAAATATTTCTTTCATGACCTCATATTTTGTTAAAACTCAGGTTTAAAAAACTTCTTGTAGGACCCACCACAGGTACATCTACAATTGAAAATAAATTATTCTTTCTCCTTTTATTTTAGAACAATTTTTCATTGGAGTCAAGGCAGACATACATTGCCCAAAGCCATTCAGGTGGCTTTGGTGTACATTTGCAACTTATATTTTTATATAAATATTTATATTTCTATATACAGGTAGTCCTCACTTACCGTCCACTTGTTCAGCTGCCGTTTGAAGTTACAGTGGTGATGTACAGTGGTACTTATGACCAGTCCTCAAAGTTCTGGCTGGCACCCAATCCCCTTGGTAATAGGATCACAATCCAGGGGCTTGTCAGTCAACTCATACTTATAATGGTTGCAGTGTCCTGTGATCACGTGATCACAGTTGTAACCTTCACTACAAGTTTTCCATTTCCTGGACAGAGTTGATTCACAGTCTGGGTAGGTCCTCCTGGATTTATGCTTGTGGAGCAGTTGGCAGCTGTGGCTATGGAGCAGTAGTGGGTTCCGGATCCCATTCCAACCGGTATTGTCCACATGGACACATGCACGCAGTGCGCGCATGCGTCTTATCATCCAGTGGCGCCTCTGTGACAATCCAGATGCTCTGCGTAGCATCGCACAGGCGCTGTATGCACTTTGTGTGTAAGTGCCGAAGACTTTAAAGACAGGTAAGGAACTCAGGCGGGCTGGACCTCCGGAGCACAATAACGGAACGGTAACCGGTGCTCTAAGCCGACTCCAGTACGCCTGTACCGGGGCGTACCGCCTGCAACCCACCACTGCTACGGGAGACCCTGGACATTTGTGCCATAGATGAAACAGCGTCCCTCCAAATTATCTTAATTTCATTTTTTTAAAAAAGGCTTGTTTGTCATAGGAAAATAAATAACATATATCAACAGTCCACCAGTAATTCATGTATTTATTTGTATCCCAACTTTATTATTTTTAGAAATAACAATCCTTTCAGTATTATACATGATCAGATCTTTACAATTTTGCACCTGGACCCCCCAAAAAAGAAATTTTGATAATTTCTGACACTGATGTAACCCCACCAGGTAGATCGGACCAAGCTTCAACTGTATAGGAAAGTGGTCTATTTTTATTGAGAAAAAAAACTATAATAACAAAATTTTCTAAGTGTGATTGGGCTCTTGTGAATTTCTATGTGAATTATGGAGGTGTGTATCTAAGCCACTTATACATATAGCTAGTCCTTGCTTCCTGATCACTCATTCAATGATGTTCAACTTTGCAAGGGTACAGAAAAATGAGACATTACTGGTCCTTAAAGGTGTGGGCATTACAGCGTCCCTGCAGTCCCAATTCAGCTGTCTGGCAACCAGAATGCATTTTATAATGTTCCTAAGTTACATGATCATCATTTGTGGCCTTCACAGCCAGCTTCCAACAAGCAAAGTCAATCGGAAAGCCAGAAGGAAGTCACAAGTAACCTTCACATGACATCACATTTAACAACCTGTGGTGATTCACATAATGACTGCAGCCAGAACTGACATTGTAATTTGGTGCAGTCACATGACATTGTGGTTAAAGAACTGCTCTGCTTACAACAGAGTTGCCAGTGGCTAATTTCCCCATTGTAGTTGGTAAGTGAGGACTACCTGTATTTCTGCCAGTTTTAAATTTAAGCCATGTATTTCTCCTTGTTGCTTTAGTAATGGATCTAGTGTATCTCTCTCAAGGTCACCTTCCTGACTCTGTACATCTGGGGATGTAGCCAAGGGAACAGACTTAATTCCCTGCTGAGCCTTCCTCCCAACTAGGACAGTTGCTCTCCAACAGGGATTTGTAACAAGACTTTTTTTTTGTTGAGGCAGAGTCTTAGCAGTCATCCCTTGCTCTAGCCTATACAGTCTATGAAAAAACATTGTCTTCCTAAAATGGGAATTTATTAGATAGAAAGTAAAATAAGTTTAATATTTCTGGGAAATGTCTGTGTAGAACACTGTTAATAATTTAGTTTATCTTTTAATTTAAAACAAGGTACTTAAAAGAATTCTCAAATTTTTGAGTTCAATATGTGCTTCTTAATAGCCAGGTTAGGTATTAAATTCATATTAAATGGTCAGTGCTCAAATTCTGAAATAAGAATGGGCTCTGGTTAGGTGGCATTGGTATTAATGCCATCTGAGATAGTCCATGGAATGCATACTTTTCCCCCCTGTTGATTACTTATAAAATAGATTTGGGGGAGTAGTGTTTTTGAATCACTGCCTCTTTTTTAGTTGTGATATGCGTATTAAGTAGCCAATCTCATACAAGTAACGTTTCTTATTAACTGATTATCACAAAAAAAGTGCCAGTTTCTAGTGAGGACTATGAAATCTAGGCAAGCAACAGCATATATTATTTTAGCTTTTTAATTATGAATTTCAGAACTTGATTACCTTGTCCTTATTTGTTCCTTTAAGCTAATGTCATGTTCCTTATATGGTGAAAAATATTCTTCAAGTAATATTATCTGTTACCAAGGTACTTCGCAAAACTTTGGACAGAGTGGGTTTAAGCACCCTTGGCATCATTGCTGCAGATGGAAATTGGGACTTTGCCAATCAAATGCTAGTCGATCCTTATCTATATGATGCGGTTGAAATAGTAGGGTAAGTGTGGAAATACAGAGGAACAGTTATTCATCTATTATATATAAAACTTTGTATTAATTAGAATTTGGACGTCAGCTTGATTATCCTGCTTTTATATGCATGGGCTCCAGTATCATTTGTTTCCAGCCCTGCACCTGACACTAGCTTTACTTCCAGATGAGTATGGTATTCATTGTAGCTTAATGGGGATACCAACATCATTTTGCTACCTTCTGGAACTATGTGAGTTTTGTTTTATATAGTATTTTCCACGGATGTTTCTTAAATAGTAACTTTCTTTCCTTTGGATAACCTAAGAACCTAAAGCTTCATATCAATACAGAATTCTCAGGACCTTCACTATCTGCTGATCTTTAGGGGAAATTTTGAAAATTGGTGGCATAAAGTCTAAGAGTTGTTGATATACTTGTATATATATATAGGATTGTGTGGAATATTAAAACACTATAGATTATATTTTTAGGGAGCCAATAGAAGAGAATAGGAACTCTGAGGAAATTTCTTGTGATTGCTTGGTCCTTTTCAGCGATGGTGTTTTTACTGTATTAAGAATGCACTTCTTGGGAAAATGCTCCATTTTTTGTTTTATTTTATTCTATTTGTGGTGGTATTTGTAATATTTTGCTTTTTGATCTGTATCTTAGTTGCTTTGATTGCTAGAGATCAGGGTGGATTTGATTTAAATCAACTCGATTTAAATCACGATTTAAATCATTAGTAAAAAGACTTGATTTAAATCAACTTGATTTAAATAATAATTTTTGAAGAGCAACTGTCATCTCTGACCCGCTGTTGACTCACCGACAGTCCCATTCACTTTAATGTGGATGCCTGCTAATAGGCACTGCCATGATGGATCTGAAATGACAGGTGCTCTTTAAACTCATTCTTGCTGGTAGTTAGAATCTTTAATATTATTATTTGCAAACAAAATGAAAGTTTCCTATTCAGAGTGCTTGGATTCATGGAATGAGTTTACCAAAAATGTAAATATTGCAGAATATACAGCCTCGTGCTACATAACTAAGCTCCATTTCATGCTGAATAAACTAAATTATTAATGTATATTAAATAGAAAACTATCTTTAGATAGATTTTTACTCCAAAAGCATTTTATTAAAATAAATATGACAAAATAAAAATACAATTTAAATAATATATATAATTTAAATTTCAAAAAATCAATTTTTTTATTTTTTTAAAAAAATCATCTATTTTTATCCCTGCCAGAGATGCAGGACTGTGTTGTACATTATGCATTTAAATGTCAACTTTCCAAAGGGAACACGCTGCCTGGTGATTATCAGTGACAATTTTAATGTCTGGTTTACTTACCTGTATCATCTAATCTTATTCTCTATGTTTTCAGTGCTTTGATTTTATGGCTATCTAATGCATTGTCTAGGTGTGCTGCATTAATTAACTCATTGACTAACCTAAACCAGGGGTCGGCAAACTTCAACACTCAAAGAGCCACAAAGGTCCTAACTGGAAGCCCCCTATTCAATTCTTGAACCAACCGGAAGTCTGGTTTCCCCCACCATAGAGTCTCCTCAGAGCACGGTGTCCTTTTTCCTCTGCTGACTGGAAGTCTCCTCCTAGTATGGCATCCTTTTTCCTCTACCTATCCTAACTGAAAGTCCTATCAATTGTGGAGCTGGCTGGTGACAGGGAGCCGCAGCAGAGGAATGAAAGAGCCACATGTGGCTCCAGAGCCAAGGGTTGCTGACCCCTGATCCAGAGCCATTAGAGAGTAGCTGTATGCACTGAAAAGTCCATTGCTCAGTGGATAAATTTTAAGACTTTTAAAATGGAACAGTGTTTGATTTCTATTAAAAATGATTTTTGTGACAAATGATGGCACTTTATTAAATAATAAGGTTATTGTAGAATTCAGATCCAGCATTATCCTGAACCTATGCACTAGGCGTGCAATATCATGTTATTACTAATATAGAAAGAAATCTGGTTAACAGATAAGATGAAATGAAGACATAATTTGACTCTCTCTCTCTCTCTCTCTCTCTCCCTCTCTCCCTCTCTCCTTCCCTCCTTCTCTGTAGAAAAAATATTTTCCCCCATTCA